CCTGTCCCCGGCGCCCTCCCCGGGGGTCCCTGGCCCCCGGGGCTGTCCCCGGCACCCAGGGCTGTCCCCAACGCCCAGGGCTGTCCCCAGCGCCCACCCCGGGGGTCCCTGGCACCCACCTGGAGCTGCCCCTGTCCCTGCCAGGCTGTCCCTGTCACCCATCCCCCCTGCCCCCAGGACCCCAGGTCTGTCCCCAGCCCTCCAGCACCCACCCTGGCCTGTCCCCAGCACCCACCCCGGGGGTCCCCGACACCCAGGGCTGTGCCTGGCACCCACCACACCTCACCCCAGGACCCCAAGTCTGTCCCCAGCTCCCCATGCCGTCCCCAGCGCCCACCCCAGCCCGTCCCCGACACCCCGCGGTGTCCCCGTGCTCACCCAGCGCTGCTGGGGACACACGGGTGGGTGCCAGACCCCGTGAGGCCCCGGCAGATGGGGCTGCGTGGGCCCCGCGCTCGCCAGCATCCCCTCCAGCCACCCGCGGGGCGTCGGGGGTGCCCGTCCCCGCTCCCAGCACCCTTCCCCGGGGCTCCGGCCCCCGTGGCAGCCGCAAGAACCAGCACGCACAGGCAGCCCTCAGCAGGGAGCAGTTTACCAAGCTGGCGAGATTAAAAAGTACAACATTCAGAAGTACGCACCATGGCGGGCCGGCCCCCGCCCTGCGGGACCAGGGGACAACAATGCCGGCCGGGCTCTCCCCTGGGACCGTGAGCTGCTTTTCCCACAGTGAAGCAGCCGCAGAAGCGGTTCTGCATCCACAGCCGGCGGGAGGAGGAAGCAAGCGGCCAGGGACAAGCTCTCAGCCCAGAGCTGGCCGGCTCCGATGGGAAGAGCCCATTCCTCCAGTCAGGAGACGAGGATCTCTGTCCCACGGCCCGACCCCCGGCTCAGCAGCCAGGATTCACCCCGGGCTTCCCAGCCATTTCTTGTCTGGTAGCGGATGACCGCTTTCGCTGCCAGCGGTGCCGGGTTTTTGCAGGGGTGTCCCCCCGCCGTGCTCGTCCCCAGCCCGCTTTGCCGGCCGCTGTCCCCTGGCCACCGCCTCTGCCACCGCCGGTTTCCTGAGCAGTCATGTGCAAAATGTACCCGTCCCCAGCGCTTCCCTCGCCCGTCCCGGGCCCCATCCCCGCCACGCCTCCACCCTGCTGCCGGGCCGGGAGCAGCGGGAGGGCTGGGTGCTGCGGGGTGGGGATGAAGCAGGGAAATCTGTTAGAGCTTTTTTTTTTTTTTTTCCTGAGTTTCTCAGCCTGGATCTTAATTACAGGCTTAAATCTGCAACCCCGGGAGAGGGAAGGGAGCAATGTGCAAGTAATGGGAGGGAGGGGAGGGGGAACCAACCGCAAGGAGAGTGGAGCCTCTTTTAGGGTCAAATCCACTACGGCTTGTGGACGGGGCGGTGTTCGCGGAGGGCCGCGCTCCCCAGGGCGGGCAGAGACCCCCAGCCCAGCCCCGGCCCCTCGGAGGGGCAGCCGCAGTGCTGCCGTGATGCCTGCCTCTCCCCACGGCCGCCCGGGCCCGGCCGCGTCGCTCCTCTCCGCGCACAGGAGGGCTGGGGCACGCCGGAGCTCGCAGAAATGTATCAAGAAATAAAGCAGAAATTTTCCCGACCACCCTGTTCCTTTGTCAGCCGCAGCCTGGCCCTTTCTCTCTTGCTATGGGCACGCAGCCGTGCCTCTGCTCTGAGCTGGGGCTGGCATTTCCTCCAGTCCTGCCCTCCTCCCGAGCTCGGCCCTGGCCCAGCGGCTGTCCCTGCCCCGCCGCCCCTCACCGTGGCCTCTGTCACCACAGCTGGGGCTCCCATGATGGAGCCAAGCCAGGAAGCAGCAGCTGGGGGCGAGCGGGACAAATCCCACCCTGCACCTTCCATTGTGCCCCAGGCAAGGGCTGGCGAGCCAGGCCATCCCTTCGGCAGGGCTGGGCAACGCGGCTGTGCCAGCGCCGCATCCCCCTGTGCCGCTGCGGCACGTGCCCCCTCCCCGCAGGACCCGCACGGGCAGCCTCGCAGGCAGGCACACGCCGCACAGGGCCCGCTGCACGCCTTGGCAGCGCGTCCCGGCGCCCAGGACGCCCAGGGGAACGCAGTCCGGCTGGCTTGGGGACCTGCATGTGCCAGGGGGACGGTGGCACAGCCATCTGCATTCTCTGGACAGCAGCGGGGTGCAGCCCCTGGTGTGTGAATGGCGCTGGCACGCATCCTGCTCGGCCTCGCACAGCTCCGCTGCAGCCAGCGGGCACGGGCGGAGCGGTGAGTGACCCCAGAGGGACCCCAGGAGTCACCTGGGAGGTCCTCAGGTGACGTCTGGCTGGGTTTGGCCAACAGCTCGGCGGCAACCTAGGACCTCCGGCGGCTGACGTGGCAGATGTTTGCAGGAGATGCTGTCGCAGGGTACTTCGGTGCGATGCAAGAGGCAGAGCTGGGGAAGGGCGTCCCTGGGCAGTGCCAGACGGCCGCAGCCCGCCCTTCCCGCGGCGGCAGGGCCGCCCGCACCCCACGTCACCCGGAGTCGACAGCCTGGTGCAGGATCCGCTCGTGCTGGGAGGCTGGCGGGGAGGCCGGCAGCGTGCCGCCCGTGGCGTGGCCGGCGGGGCGAGGCTCCCCGGGGCTGGCGGCGGAGGCGACCCTGGGGTTTGCTTTTGGATCGAGAGCTGAGGAGCTCCGAAATGCAGCATTTTGGGGGCTTTCGAGGGGCTGGGTTTTGGCTTGAGGTCGTCGCGCTGGCTGCGGACGCCGGGGTGCCTGTTCCCCGTGGGGCGGGGAGGATGCTCAGGACGACAAGGGGGAACCGCTTGTGGCTCTTCCAAAGCAACCTCAATTCCAGCCAGCCCCCTTATATCTTCCCAAAGCACATCTCCATGTATCCAGCCGAGCTCAAACCCGGAATCTTTGCCTGGGAAACTCAAGGTACAATGTCAAATGAAAGAATAAAACATCATCACCACTGTGCATTAGAAAAGCCATTTAAAGTACCACATGCCGAAGTGACCGAACAGTTTCAAGCTAGCTTCGCTGTGGGCACTGGGCGATGCTGGGGGCTGCAGTCCTGCTCTGCTTCCCAAGCAGGCGCCTTCGGTCCCGGGAGCCGGCTCAGCCGGGGATGGTCCCAGCCGTGGTGCCGCCTCTTCCCTCCTGGAAAGGGCCCAGCTCCGCCAGAGACACGGGCGCTTGGGCTCCAAACGCTGCCTCTCTGCCGGCAGCTCTCCAAGGAAGAAACAAAAGCAGAGGAAAACCCCGGTGGGACACATGGACTCACCCCGGCAGGCAGGACACCCCTTCCGCAGCAATACTCCCTCTGCAGCCATCTCCAGCCCTTCATGGCCAGAAGGGACCACGCGAGGTTAAGGCTGGCTTTTGGGGCTGTTTGCACCGTCCAGCTCGGGGGCAAACTCCGTCATGACCCTCCTAGCCAGTGGGTTTGTGGTCTTGAGCAGTTCGGCAGCAGATGGCCGGGTACCGGGGCTGGTTTTGCTGCTCTTCTTCTGGAGCAGGGCTTTAAAGTCTTCGTTCCTGCTGGAAGACTTCCCGGTGCTGCCCGCTGCTGCCGGGGACTCGCCGGTTGGGGAGCCTGAAGTCTTTACGGGCGAGTGGGAGTTGGGCCGGCTGCTAAAGCTGTCACCAGGCTCTTTCCGCCCCAAGACCTTCCTCTTCGACCTAGGCACCAAAGAGACACGCGGTGGGAGCAGCCCCGGGCGGGAGCTGCCACCGCTCTGCATGGGGTGAGGTCCTACAGCAAGGGGCACGATTGCCCCGCTCCGCCTGGGGCAAGACGACAGCCGGTGCACGGCTGGAGATGGAGCTAGCTGTTGGCAAACCCTCTCCTGGCAGCTAGGTCCAACTTGCCCCAAGGCTGATGGAGCAGTGGACCCCCCCCCCCCCAACCGGGGCCCCCCCCCCGGCGCCACACCCGGGGGGCAAAGGGGCCCCCCCCCCCCCCAAGCTGGTGACCCCACCTGGCTGCAGACTCAGGGTGCTAAACCCCGAAGCGCTTGAGGCAACACCACCTGGGTTGTCCCCAAGGGTGAGCGTTGGCCCCGGTGTGGAAAACTTAAGGTGTTGTGGCGGGGGGGACACTGCTCCCGGCCCTGTGACCGTGGCAGGACACAGGAGGTGCGGGGCTGTGCCCACCCAGTGCCACGCACCAGCCCTACCTGTGGATCACGGTGAAGAGATCCTCCGTGGTGCGGGACGTCACAAACACGTCGTCATCCTCCTCCACGATGGAGTCGGCCGTCTTGTCGCTGGCGAAGCTCTTCTCCTCCATGCCGGCCTCCGCCGAGCTGCCTGTGGGTGGGGAGGGGAAGGCAGCCGTGAACTGCCCTGTGCGGGCACGGGGGGGACCCCTGTCCCTGGGGTGAAACCCACTGCAGGAGCAGGGAGACCCTCACCTTGCTCCCAGGCAGGGTCGCCGGCTTGTGCTGTGCCCTGGGCCTCCGGGGATGGCGGGTCCTCGGTGTCGGGGTTGCAGCAGGTGGGGTCGGCGTCAAGCGTGATGATGGGGCTGGGGGTGGGCGCCTGGTCCCCCATGCCAGCTCCCAGCTGCGACGGGGCCAGGGTGAGCGGCAGGTAGAGCACGCTGGGTTTTTTGGGCACTGGTGGTGGCACCTTGGCCTTCCTCCGCTCCCTCTCGCCAGCACCGCTCCGCTCCGGCCGCGACTCGTCCTCCAGGCTGCCCTGCGAGAGCCGCCGGGGTCCCGCCGGGGTCAGGGGTGAGGGGGACTCCCCCGGACCCCTCCTCAGCTCCCCTTTCCGCAGCACCACGAAGCCATCCTGCAGCAGCCCCTTCTCCTTGGTGGTGGCACCCGGCGGGGACGTGGGGGACAGGGGACCCTCCTCCCGCAGAGCTGGGGGCTTGGGCAGGATGCTCGGGGGCCGCTTGGCCAGCAGTGGCTTCTCTGCTACGGGCGGCTTCACCTTCCTCTCCGGCCCCAGGCAGGGAGCACGTGCTGGCTCCTCGGTGTGCTCTGGGCCATCGGCGTTGTCCTCCGGCTCCGAGCGGCTGATGGAGCGGAGGCGGACGGAGCGCAGGTCGGACTGCGTGACCACCGGCATGATGGGCGTGATGGGGCTGGTCTTCTGGGCCAGCTTGGTGCCAAAGGTGGAGTCGGAGTGGTGCCGGCTGACCTTCGTCTTCCCCTTCAGGGAGATCTTCAGTCCCGAGAGGTCAAGGTGGGCAGGCGGCGTGAGCGGCAGGTCGAAGGACAGCCTGGACTTGGGGCTCCTCTCCATGGGGGATGTCGGGGGCAGCGAGGACTTCCTCTCGGGGACCAGTGGCCTCACCCGCACCTGGTGCGGGGAGTGCCCGAGGATGGCGGAGGTGGGAACGGTGGGAGTCGGGGTCTCCGACTGGCTGGAGTACCCGCTGGATGGGGACATCAGCCCTGTGGGCCTGCCTGGGGAGGAGGTCTTCAGGTCGGCCTCAGCAGAGAGCTGCGAGGGTGTCGTGGCCCTGGAGACGGAGGGAGACGTGAGGGACTCAGAGCTGCCCTGTGCCTTGGCACACTCGATGGCCGTGGTCCCTGTGGCCGTGCTCGAGCTGGAGAGGGACCGGTAGGGATCGCCAGCCTTCCAGTCTGCAAGATGCCACTGGTGGGGGGCGGCCGTGCCGTCGGGTTCCCTCCCCACGCTCCCCTGGGGGTCGCAGTGCACCAGCCGGTGGCCCTGGGGCTCTGGTGGGATGCACAGGCTCTTGGGTCGCTGATCCTTGGGCAGCGCCAAGCCGGGCCCTGCGTCGGCATCCTGCCCCTCTTTAATCAGAGAGACGCTGCGTGTGGGCGGCGAGGGCTTCTTCTTCGCCTTCTTGAGGGAGATGCTCTTGGAGCGCCGCCGCCGCTGCCCCTCCTGCTCCAGCCCCAAGGAGACATTGTCGGTGCTGGTGCTGCCCTCGGAGCTGGCGCTGGGGTAGCCCAGGGCGTAGTTGGCGCTGCCTCGCCGGGTCTCGGCGTACGCGATGTCCACGGAGCAGAGGGAGCCTGAGTCAGTGGGCACCGACAGCGACCGCTCGCGGAACCAGCACCCTGCCCGCTCCACCTCCAGCCGCACTGGCTCCACCACCGGCTCCGGCTCCCCTTGGCTTCCCGGCAAGAAGTTCACCTTGGCTTCCAGGCCCTCGCACCTCTGGCCACCCCCGGAGCTGGGGGGGGACTCAGGCACCGTTCCGGAGAAGGAGCCAGGCCCATTGCTGCCCACGTGCTCCTCCGTGGCGATGAAGAAGGAGGCGGAGGCGGCGGCGGCAGGCGAGCCCGGGCTGGGCGACGGGCTGGAGCCGCCCGGCGAGGTGCAGGTGGGCCCCTTGCCCTGGCTGGTGGCGGGGCTGGGGGGACTTGTGTGGCCCAGGGCGCTCCAGGGCGGGGGGAAGGGGGTACCCTGCGGCCCGTTGCAGGTGCCGGCGCAGGGGGTGGCTGCGTTGTCCATGGCAGCGGGCGGCTGGCAGCAGCGGGCCCCAAGGTCGCTGAAGGTCTTCCTCAGCGGGGCAGAGAGGGGCTGGCGGGGGCCGATCTCCTGGGGCGCCTTCCCTCCGCTCGCGGCCTCGGGCACGAAGCTGCAGGAGAGGGACTCGGTGATGGGCGAGTGCGTGTTGAACGTGGGGCCGTTGGTGCCACCTGCAAGGAGAGACACAGCCCAAGTGAGCATCGTCCCGCTGCGCTCTGCCAGTGGGTCGGTGGCACAGTCCTGCCCCGCGTGCCATGGGGCCAGGACTGGTCCCACCCCGTGACCGATCTCTGGGGCTGCATCTCTGCCTAGGCACGAAACGTTCCTGGGCGGACTGGAGGGGACGGGTCGACACCCTCTCACCAGATGCTCTCCTACCCCCCGTATTGGCGTGGCCATAACCCAACTGGGGACAGTCCCTGGCCCGTGCTAACCCTCGAGCCTGGGATCTGTTGGCTGGGACATGCCATGGACAACTTAGCAGCCATGGCAGGAGTCTCCATCCATGGGGACATCGGCCCCATGGCGACCAAAGTGCTGCCCCAATGCTGCCCCGTGGTGGGGATGCAGATGGAGACCAGGAAGAGCAGAGTGAGGCTTCACTGCCCGGGTCGGGGAGGGATGCAGTGGCTCACAGTGCCACCTCATCTCAGAGCAGCCTGGATGGGGAAGGACCTGGGGACCCCACTCAGAGCACACCCAGCAGACCAGGATGCTCAAGGCTGCAGCGACTTGAGGTCTGACCATCTCCAGGGGAGGAGCCGTGACAACCTTTGGAGGTTTGACCACTGTCATGGGGAAAAACCTTCCTCCTACCCAGTGACAATTGCCCCTGGTGCAGCTGGTGCCATGGCTTCTCCTCCTCCTGTCCCCACCTGCCTCCGAGAAGAGGCTCTGGTTTCTCTACACCTTCCATAGGGGACGGCACGACAAGGCCTCTGAGCCGGGATGGCTGCTGCCCCCATGGGGTCCAACACCGGTCTGTGGCCGTGCCAGGAGTGCTGCAGGCACCCTCAGCTGCGCGAGCGCCTCCGGCACACAGGCGCAGGCTGGCTCGCCAGCCCCAGCAAAGGCCCAGGCAGGATGCGTGCCCCGCAGCCCCGGCACCCTGTGGGTGAGGTCTGCTCTCAGCCGGGGAGGGTGGGCACGGGGCAGGAGCTGCCGGAGCTGAGGCTGGGTCACTAGGAGAAATTTCGGTGGCCTTTCCGCCCCATAAGTGTGCAGGACCCCGACTTGGGGTGAAGGGGCTGTCCCTGATGCCATGCCAGCCCCAGGGCCAGCCCGGCATCACCAGCGTGCCCAGCACCTCGGTACCCCAGGAGGGGGCAGATCCAGCGCAGTGACCTTTACCGCCCCAAGGCCGGGGCGTCTCTGGGGAGCCTGTCTGTGCCCGGGCTGGCTGCCAGCCCCCAGGGTGGCTCTGCCCACCGTCAGAGCAGCTCCAGCGGGTGACAGCCCTGCCCAGGCGCTGCCGGGGCACGAAAGTGGCTGCGCGGTTCTTGCCGTCACCTTGGTCTCGCAGGGACAGGTTAGGGAATCCGATAACGGTCCGTCTACGCCGCAGGGTGGACTTGGGGTTCATCGCGGTCTCTGTGTTAAACAGGGAGTGACGAGCACTCGCGTGCCTAGCAAAGTGCTGCCCTGTAGCCAAAACAAACACGCTGTACGTGGCGGTGCCGGGAGGGGCTGCCGGGGCAGGGGCTCGGCCCCCTCCATCGCTGGGTGTCCCCTGGGCGTCCCCCTGCCTGGGATGGCGACTGCAGGCAGGAGGGCGGGATGGCAGGAGGGTGATGAGCCATGCGGGGCGAGCTGCGTGGGATATGGAGGCACGGCGGGCGCTGCCGGCCGGTGGGAAGACGGAGATGGTGCAGATGGAGGTGGGATGCACGGAGAGCTGTGGAGACCGGCCCCGCTCTGTGTGACAGGCTCTGGTCCGCGCTGGTGAGGCCAGACCTCACACCACTGGGCTTTGCTGTTAATGGGGCCAGCGGTGCTGAGCCACACTGGGCACGTGGACACGAGGAACAGCAGGGTGGGGAGAGGGACCAGCGTGGTGCCGGCACGTCTCTCCATCATGGAGGGAAAGGGTGGAAAGACGTCTTTCGCCTGCAGAAGGGGCACCTTGCTCAGCCGCTGGCCCCAGGCTCCTACTTGGGGCAGAGCGTGGCACTTGTGTCCGCAAGGACCAGCAGGACTGCACTGCTGGGAGCTGCAGCCCCGTGAGGATGGATGGATGGACAGACAGATGGACAGACAGGTGAGACAGGCTGGCCGCACGGAGCACGGCGAGAGCCAAGGTGACAACAGAACCGGCTGGCTGGGCAGCACGGAAGAAACAAGAGACCGGACGGCGGCGTGGCCAGTGGATCAGACGCACAAAGTTGCGGATGGCAGGAGAGATGGCTGGGAATGACAGACGCCAGCGTGGCCCTGCTGTCCCCTGCTCTGCCCCCGGCGCCCGCCTGGCCCGCGGGGACACAGGCTGGGGGGCCCCACCCCCCCCCCCCCCCCCCTGCAGCCGGCGCATCCTTGCCTGCACCCCGCATCCTCCCCCCAGCGCCGGCGTGGTGCCGGGGCTGCCTCTCGTGCCTCTCCCCCCGCCGCGCCGCGGGGGTGCTGCCCTACCCGAGACATTGATGGGGACGATGTTGGTTTGGATGGAGCAGGACTGGTGCCACTGCTTCTCCTCCACGGTGGGCAGGGGGAAGGCCCTGCTCCAGGCTGGCTGCTTGTCCGGGCTGGTGGGGAGGCTCAGGGAGGCGTCAGGCGGCCGAGCGCCGAGCGCGGTCGTGCCAGCAGTCTCCTCTTCAGTTGCTCGCCGGGTCGGGGGCTGTGGGGGGAAAGGCATGTGACCCACCAAAGGGGTGAGGGTGGGACACAAACGGCTCCCCCCCGGCCTTGCTGCCTGACCGGCTGTGCCAACCGCTCTCCTCCGGGCGACGCTGGGGCTGTGCCACCCACGAAGTCGAGGCGCTTGGCGGGCGGGGGCCGGGGCGACGGCTCGGGCGGGGTGTCGGGGGGCAGGTGACCGGCGGCGCGGAAGGTCTGCCCGGGGACCCTGCTCTCGGCGTACTGCTCCTCATACTCCTCTGCAAGAGAAATGGTGCTTGGGGCCCTGCTGCAGCCATCGGCTGGGGGTGCAAGCTTTGTCCGCGGGGCAGGAGGAACACAAGGGCATGTGCGTCTGTCCCGGCTGTCTGTCCCTGGGCTGGCTTGCTGTCCCTGCTCAACACCGGCAGCTCAGGAGGTGGGGAAGAGAGACCCCAAGGAGGAATGCCAGGGCAGGGGGGAGCCGAGGCAGCGCTGGGAGCTGCCCCCCACCCCGGGGGCTGCCCGGGGACGCGGTGGGTCCGGCGGGGAAGCAGGGGTCTGGTGGAGAAGCAGAGCCCTGCCGGGGACAGCCAGGAGGGAACTCAGTGTCTCCCCATCCTGTAATTGTTGAGCTAATTAATGTCGGTCGTTATGGCCTGGCGGAAACCAGGTCTGCTCAGGCTGACTTAATGAGATTACAAGCTGGGGAAAGGCCCGGTTGCTGATCTAATCGATGCCTGCAAAGCATCCGAGCCGAGGCCGCGTGACGGCTTGGTTAAGAAATTGGAAGGAAGCAAAATCAACGGCCATGCTGATCCAGTTAGACAGATCGGCAGCCAGGTCTCCGAGGCCCTTGTGGGCAGAACCGTGCCGCGGTGGGGCTGGCAGGCACCACGGTGGGGCTGGTGGGCGCCCCAGCAGCCGCTCTCGGCCCCAGGTGCTTTGCCGCACGCAGCAGTGACTTGGGAGCAGAGATCAGAGAGGGGCTGCTGGAGGCTGGGACCCCCGGGACCCAACTCCTCCCGCTTGGTGAGGTCCGAGGAGCGGCTCAGACACGTGCACGTGGGAGACGACCTCACTGTTTGCGTGGCAGTCGCGTACCCAGGGCAGCGCCCGTCCCCGCCACCCTCACCCAGCCCGCTGCCGGCCCCTCTTGCCCCACTACCTTGCAGCAAGCTCTGAAGGTTGAGCTGGGCCTCCTGGTGCAGCTGCTCCATGCCCGGCGGGCGCCCGGCCGCCAGGAAGACGTTCACCGGCTGCTGCCATGACAGCTTGGTGTGGGCGGCTTTCTTGCTCTCGAGGTCCAGGTTAGAGGTGGCTGCAAGCAGGAGGGAGCAGAGTGAGAGGGAGGCGGCGGGCGGCTTCCCTGTGAGTGCTGCCATGGGCTGCCGGCCAACGCCGCGCCGGCACAGCACACTCATCCCACCCTAGGTCTCTCCAGGAACGCGGGGACTGGGATGTGGCTGCGTCCCGCCCCAGCAAAGCCACCCGGGCAGGCTGCTGCCGGGTGGGACCAGACCCCATCGCCGCCACCAGTGCTGCTCCGGGGGCTGGCCGCTGTCCCCGTGGGCTGCCAGAACAAGCCAGGAAGGGAGCAGGGTGAAATTGGGGAAGGAAGCAAGCCTTGCTGCCCCGGGTGACTGCCCTGCTCCCGGGCGCAGGAAACGCTGTGCGCTCTGGTGAAGCAATCTCCTGGCTGCAGAAGAGCAGAAGTTGCAACCGAAAAGGAGGGAGCGAAGGGGACACGGCACCTTTCATCACCCTGGCTTCAGCCTGCTCAGCAAGGTTAACGCGCCCTGCCGCGTCTGCGGACGCCCCACAAAGGTCTCCTGGGAAGGAAACCTCTGCGGGGATGGGCCGGGCACTTGCCCAGACCCCCTGAAACACCTATACCGGTGGAAGTCTGCAGGAGAAGGATTTGGGCTTGCCGGGGAGCTGGCCGCGCTGGGAGCTGAGCAGTGCTCCAGCAAAGAGGCTCTGCTGTGGGAACCCCTGCAGCCCCGGCACCCCCGCTCCGGAGCAGCGCTGGCCCCGAGCGGATGTGGGTTTCCTACCCAGCGCGGTTTTGTGCCGGAGCCAAGGGAGTGCCGCCACCGGCACGCTGCCTGCCGAGCGCATCCAAGCCCCGATTTGGGCAGTGAAGGCAGAGAGTGGGTTCGTGAGCTTTAAACAGGGGGCTCGTGGATGACCAGGGTCTTGTCCCTGGGGATTTGGGGCTAATCCTTCTCCAGTTGCCCCTGCTATGGGCAGGCCGCTGTCGGCACTGGGCACTGCGCGAGGTTCTGTGCCTGGTGTCACACACCGGGCTGTGTGTCACCCCTGGGGACTGGGGTCTGACGTCCCTTCACCCTGTCTGGTAGCCGGGACATTCCCGCTCACCAGCCAGCACCGCTTCATCCGCCTGGCCAGCAGAGGGTGAGGGCTTCCTGATGGCGCTGGGGGTGCCCCTCCCCATCCCCATGGGTCGAGGCGCTCCCGTTACCAGCGTGACACGCACTTCCCCTCTGCCGTCCGCGGGGCCGCAGGGTGGGTGCCCGTCCCCAGCGAGCACGCCACCGCCCCAGCTGCCAAAACATAGCTGCCTCTGGCCGCAGCATCCTGCTTCATGCCAGACCCCAGCCGAGGCAGCGGCAGCGATCCCGCTTGCCTGGGCAAAGGCTAGCGGCCCCAAAAGGGGGTCAGGCTCCCCGCACCCCCTGCACAAGCCACGTCCCCCTCTTCCTGCACTGTTGGGTCAGCCGTGCCCCGGCTCCGCCAGCACTGCACCCTGAGCATCGCCCCTGCTGCCCACGGGTGCCATCCTGCCCGCCCTTCCCCCTGGCTCCGGCTGATCGAGCGGCAGAGCCTGCACAACGCCCAGCACCCGAAAGCAAGGTGCCACGTCCCTAGCCTAGTTACTTTTATAATTTGTGTTACCATAACGACGTGCCTTAACACCAGGCTTTTTTTCCCCTTTTTTTTTTTCTTCTTTAAATAATTTGACTCGTTTCCATATCAACCAAGAGGTGTTGGGGCGTGTGCGTGTGTGTAAACCACGCTGAGGCTTCGCCCAGCTGCAGAGCCCCATGCCGGAGGGCAGCGCCACGCAGCCGGGGATGGGCTTTCCCTGCTGCGGGTGCGCGCAGCCCCCTTTTCTCACACGGGGACGTGGCTTTTCCTCCTCTCGCCTCCCCGTTTGGTGCCTGCCAGGTGGCGATGCCCCAGCGGGCCCGGGGTCCTGGCAGAGGTGACGACCCCTGTGCCCTGGCCGCTGGCTCGCCCCGCGTGCCCCGTTGTCCCCGAGGGATGGGAGCTGGGAGCACGGCTGGGCACAGGGCAGGGTCGGGGCACCTCCCCGAGAGCCTGACCTCCAGGGCTGCAGGAAGGGAGGGGGGGCACGGGGGGGTCAGGGACCACACGTTCACCTCTGCAGACCCCAGACTCCAACCTGCTCTTTGGCGAGGTGGGGTTCTGCTGCTGCCCCTCCAGTTCTGAGCGCACCCCAAGGGTGGACCCCACACCCCAGCTCGCTGCACCCCTCTGCCTGGCTCGCACAGACCCAGCCTTTGGCCTCGGCGGGTGCCAATGCTCCTCGCCTTCTGCCCACACGTCCCCCAGCGGCCACCCCCACCACCCCCACAGACCCCACAGCAGCTACACGAGCACCCTGCCGGGGCAGCCCCCCGCCGCCCTCCCCGGAGCCACAGGACGGGAGCTCACCTCCGCAGCCTCGGCCCCGCTGCCGGGGCACCCCGGGGCACCCACCCCGCGGGCTCCGACCACGTGGGCAAACCGCAGCACCGAAACCCGGGGCCGCCCTGGGGCGAAGCGGAAGTGGGCCCAGGCAACCGGCGAGGGGGGCCCAGCACCCTGCCCTGCCCGCGCCAGCTGCAGGCAGGGAAGAGAGGGCAGCATGGCCAGCTGGCACTGGACAAAGAGGGAAAGGGCAGCGTGGGGCGGTCGGGGGGTCCCTGCTCTATAGGGCTTTCCACCCATTAGAACGCAAGCGAACGGCGCCGTCCTGAGCTGACGCAGGCAGCGGCGCGGGCATTGCCGAGGCGCTGGCGGGGCTGGTTTCATCTTCCCAGCAGAAGCAGCAGCTGAGGAGGAGAAGGGGTGGGAAAGGGCGGATGAGCCAAGCATCCCTCCGGCGGCCCAGGCAACCCAAACCCGTGCCCCGAGGGGCTGCACCGTGCTTGCACTACCCTGCATGCAAGAGCGAGCCTAACACCCGGATGTTTTGGCTTTTGCTCCTCGGGAGCAGCCGCTCAGAGGGTTTTTTGGGCACAGCCCCGGCAGCCGCTCACAGCCCGGCACCTCACGGCACCTCTGCGATGTGGTGCGAGCAGCCAGCAGCCCGGCCCGCGGCAGGGGCTGACCAAGCAGTGCTGCTTGCCAGTGCTCCTGAGGGCCGGGCTGTTTTGGGAAGCGGCCCGGTGCAGGCTGGGTGCAAGAGCATGTCTGGGGTGTCCGTGCAAGCCGTGGCTGCCACCCGCATCCCCAGCCAAGCTGGAACACCCAGCAGAAGGACACGGCTGCCGGCGGGAACAGTGCAGCCGTAGCAGAGCCTGCTGCCCTTGGCAGTGACCCTCCTGCCAAGCTTATCGGTGACAGGCTCAAAATATGACATGCCTCCGAGGGGCCCCCACCCCGTGGCAGATGCCTGCGGGAGGCGAAGGGTATCCTGGGAGAGCAGAGCTGGAGGGCTGGCTCCATCCAACACCCCCAGCACTCTTGACCTGAGCCTGGCCAGCCTCACTGCTGGGGGGAAACTGAGGCACGGCTGGCGGTGGGGGCTCACCCCGCACGCAGCTGGCTCCAGCTCCCTGCTGGCATCAGCCCCCCATCCCTGGGCAGGGGTGCAAGCCAGCACCATCAGCCACAGCGGGTGCTGCTACCTCTGCAGCAGCTTGCAGATTCTTACTGAGCGTGAGCGAGTGTTCAGGCTTGGGACGCCACCGCCGCTGTGGGTGCGTTAGGACCGGGGCTGAAGCCAAGGGGAGTTTGCCCCAAGGGGAAGCTGAGCTTCACGCTCTCCTGGGAGAATAGCACCCCTGCAGAACCCCCAGCTGCAGAGCACAGAATACATGCCCTCCACGAGCATCTGCCCAAGTCAGCCCCGCTCCACACCAGCATCCCTCTTTACCTACTGCCCAGGCATCCCGAATCCACAGGGAGATATTCGACAAAGCCATCAGGAGTTGTTTCAATTCAGGCCAAAGCTCCCGTGAGGTGATGCCTCTTGCTCGAGCTCGCTGCCAAACTTTTCCTTCTCAAGCTCGCTCCAAGCGAGCGGACAGCGTCGGCAATGCAGACGGTGCCGCCCGGCTCCTCGCTGCCGATGCAGAGGTACCACAGGAGTGATGTAACGGCAGCAGCAGGCGATGCACCATTAGCAGAGCAGCCATGGCAACGGGTATCGGCACAGCGGCAAGCCAGCCGCCGCCGCCGGTCCTAGCACACTGGAGGATGAGGACTGCAAACTTGGAGGCTGAGACTGATCCCAACAACAACCCAAACCCCACTGGCAGGAGCCGATGCGTCGCAGTGCCGGCAACATATGCCACCGGCTTCGAGCGAGCACCCCGGCCCGCTGCCGGCACCGTGACTGCTCGCTGCCAGCGCGTGCGGCTTGATGACATTCCCTGTGGTACGGAGCCAAAGCGCACGCTGCTCTGCGATGAGCGGAGAGGAAGAGAAAAGAGCAAACAGCGGGAGCTGGCAGTGGCCGCAGAAAGCACCTCCTGTCCCAAGCTCACCCCCCGCTGAACTCGGACCCGCCGGTCCAGCTGCCCCGCTGGGATGCAGACCTGCCCGCCTTGCCACAAGCGCTCGCCGCGCACGGGCTGGAGCGTGCCCCTGTCCAAATCCGGACCCTCCCCGGGACATCGTCCCTCCGTCACACGCCTTGCGGGCACATCTCTGAGCCCTCAGCGAGGCCGGACCACCCTTACGGCTGTTTGACCCTCTGGTGGTTGAGGCCGGAGGGGCTGGAAGCTTTTTAGAGGGGTGCCCATGCCAGGACGCCGACGTTGCCCTGCACAGCAGGTCTGCGTGCTCCCGCGCAGGTGCCCAGCAGGACCATGGGGCGTTGAAGAATAACACCACCCTGCTGCACCTCTGTCGGAGGCTCTCGGCTTTTCTCACACTCCCTGTTTAACATGCAATCGGCTGATTTTTGTACTGACAGGAGATAACAGCACCGCAGGAGTTGCTGGCAGGGGTGGTGGGTTTGGCAGCTGTGAGGGTCACTCAGCTCACGGGCAGAAGGCTGGATTACGGGAGAGGTTTCTATTAAAACCATCAGCAGCAAAACAGCCAATAACATCACTGTTCTTCAGTAGGGCTCAGTGTTAACAGTGCGCTAGGGCACTCTGCCTGCCTGGCCCTGTGATGAGATCCGGTAAAACAGATAAATGCCCTCTTTCTCCAGCTGGATCTCAAGTGATCCATCACCTTCGCCTCAAGCCTTGTGTAGGGCAGGAGCGGAGGGGACGCGTGTGCTCCCCACGGATGGCGTCAGCTGTGACACCACACAGACAGGCCAGGCGGGTGCCCTGCCGTGGTGGCAGCAAGGTGACAGGGGAACAGCTGACGCCGGTCAAAGTCCCCGCAAGCCACGGCACTGCTGGCTTGGTGACTGCCCGCGAGCCCGGCAGGTGCAGAGGCCGGGGGCCACTGGTCAAAAGCTGCACTGGGCACGTTCGGCTCCAGCAACGCGAGCCGGGATCCCGCCAGGGAGTTTTGGCAGGCAGGGGAGGCGTGTGTGCTGTGGGGGGGCCTTGGCCGGTGAGCCCGGCACAGGAGGAGCCCCGGCGCGCCATCCGCCCGTGCTGTGGGGACGGAACTGCCTGCTGCCACACTCGCAGCGGGGCTTGGCCCAGTACCGCAGCCGGCCTAGATGAACTCACGCTGCTCCCTGCCAAGGGGCCGAGAGCCGATGCTCCTGAGGACGGAGCGGCAGCCCCAGCACTGGTGGGGGGTGCTCAGGGCTCGGCTGCGGGTGCTCCCATCACCCTGCCTTTGCCACCCCAGAGCCTGGCTGGACCCAGGTCCCTGCAGCAAGCCATCAGCCACGGGCAGCACGATCAGACCCCTTGGAGCCCTTCTCCCAGCCCCGCTGTGGCTCCCTAGCAGCCTGGCTTCCTCCTCGTATCACAACCCTCGCTTCCCAGCCAAAAAACCCAGGCACGAGCCTTTCCCGAGAGCCTCAGGAAACCTGGCATGGCAACCTGCCAGCCCCAGCCAGTCCTTGGCACCCCAGCACAGCATCGCCGCGCACCGCGGCCAAGGGCACCCCCGGGCACAGGGCAGCCGGGGCCAGCTGCCCGCTAACCTTCCCCCGGTGATGTCCCCAGCCTGGCCGGGACGGTTCAGCGGCACGTGGATGCCCGGGGCAGCGCTCGCAGCTCTCCCAGGCGCGTGGGCTGCCTGTGCCGGAGAGGCTGCAGCCCCTCGCCGGGCAGGGGTGCTTCCAGGAAA